GTTTGTCTCGGATTGAGAGTTCGCCTCTTGCTTTCTGCGGAATCTGTGTTTGCCCTATTCGTCGCGGGTGTTCAAAGCCCACTACTAAGTTATGTCAAGGCCTACTCGCCACCAGGATGGCTTGTTGTTCTCCCGCTGCAGCAAACGCGTCTAGAGGTGGACGTATCAGCAGAACAGGTAGCACCACACTGCAGCCACGAAAGGTTCGCGGAAGGTTTGCGGACGATGTTTCTCGCACGTAAGCTTGCAGACGGGACGGGGTTGATTTGCTCTTTCCAAACATTACATTGCTCTTACTAGGATTACTAGCAGATCCTGGCGGAAACTACCTTCCTCATTTTTTAGAAACAACTTGCCCGCGGAAGGCCGGCGGAAGCACTTGTATAGAAACATGCTCGTGGAAGTACCCGTCACACCGCGGAAGGCTTGCGCAAGGTTTCGCTGCAGGGGCCCATACTTCCAGTGAAATATAAAGGGCAAACCACCACTCACTCGTGGACACCACTTACTTGCCAACTTGGCCGAACGCCCTAACAGTACGGCAATGTCTGGAGGAGCCTACTAAAACATTGCGCTCCTCTTGAAAACAAAAGCAGCGACTGTGCGAGGAAATACATATAATTATGCGCAGTAAAAGGGGTACCCCGGGTACCCCCCTTGGCAGGCCTTTTCAGATGCTTTGGTAGGGGCAAATATTGGTGTTGGTGGAAAACCAAACCCTGTGAGCTATACTACGATACACAACAGACTTTGACTTCCTAGAAGACTAGTTGGGCATCCCGATGCTTCACCCCTTTGCATTTCTAATTCTTCTGCTGTGCTACATTGATTCTTCGGGACTGGCTGGCATTGACGGCAGTGCATGTGGTTGACGACTTCATGTCCTAGAATTTGGTGCTCGCATCATGTGTTAAGGATCCTTCTGGCGGGCATGCGCCGCAATTGGAGACGTGAACAAGGACATGGACACAGGAATCCAGCAATGTGTGGATAGACAAAATTCTGCACCACTTTGCGGAAACCCTGGTTTGTTGCTATTTGCAGAGGAATCAAATCCTTCCCGGGGTTTCTTAGCTGGTGCGAAATGAATTTCGTCCATCCACGGTAGGCGGTGACTCCTTGTGAGACTTCCTTCGATGCGAGCCGTCAATTTCCCAGGTCGCCCTTGTTGCGGGACAACATGGTCACGCGATGAGGTGCGGGGTTGAAGAGCAAACCGTGTCCATCGGATCTCCGAGCGAGGCTGTCCTTCTCCATTTATGTGGGTATGTCATGTGTGGTTTTTGGTTGAGGGTTGGTTTATAGGGAACAAAAGAGAACAACCACCATGTTTGGGATCTCCCTATTTTGACAGGGGGTGACAGGTTATCTCAAGAGACACCAACGGAAAACCGACATACCATCAGGACCATTGCACGCAGCCTGTCGGAGTTCAATCCAACACGACTCGTTGATGCCAAAAGGGCCAGGCACACTGGGACCAGTTTCGATCAAAGCCCAGATTCGATGCGGGTGCTTCAGAAATCAGGCCTGGGGATGTTGATTCAAAGAGGCCGAAATTTTGCAGCGATGATTGTTTGCTCTACCTTCCTAGAATCCGCTACTTCCATCTTACCAAGTTGTTTCTGACCGGAATTGGCACAGAAGCAAGCTAAGACTCAGACAAGGGTGCTGTGGCTGTTTAGTCCTCCAGGGTGCCTAACACTTGTGAAGTCTGAGAAGATCCTTAGAGAGCCTCAGGATGCAACATACCAATTACCCTTCCACCATGAACATGGAACCTGACAGAAGATCCCTTTAAAAGGAAATTGGTCTGCCAGGACCCCCCATGTTTCGTTTGCCCCAGGCTGACCTGGCCAAAGCGCGACGACCATCGTGTCACCAACGGTGCGGCACAAGTCTCCTGCAAAGCAGGAGGCCAGACTACTCTTACAACATTGGAAGTAAGCTTACATCTTGGCACCTGGTATGGGTGGTAACGTAGAGCCAAATGCCAGGTTTGATCTTTTACTCACCATGTTCTGCCGCTTGAAGCGTGCGTGTTAAGACGCCAGTTCCTGGTAGTGCTGGCCAGCGATGCCGATGCGCGACTCAGTGTATCGCTGTTTGTCAAGCTTTAGCCATCAAGCTGTCGACATTTTGGCTTTGTCATCGGGATTGGCGGCCCACAAAGCAGCACTGGCGCAAAAGCCGTTCAATCGCCAAAAGTGGCTGCGCGATGATTGTGAGACTTACATGCAGTTGACATCTTCAAACGAGGGGCAGGTTGCAATGTTTCGCTATCTTCTCTGCATGTGGGCAGTCTGTTCTATGTGAGCATGGCAAGTGCCATCATCCTTGCAATGAGGTTGCACTGATATGGGGTGCTTACAAATACTACCTCTCTTTCAAAGGGCAACCAGTACGAAACCGAGCCTTTTTCCTCTGTTTTGGGACACAGCATGCGCATTTGCCAGATGACACAAAGCCATTTATTTGTCAAGTCACGTTTTCTAATGGCCACAACTGTTAGCTGGGTTCGCTGCCTGCGCATGGACGTTCTGCCTTGAAGACAAAGGCTCTGGGCGCTAAATAGCTGTAAACTGCTCATACCCTTCCTCCAACACACGTAATTAGCACCTGAGGGAAGGTACCTGGCAGATCAGTTTCCACTTCAAGGAGCCCCCTGTGAGGTGCTATGTTCGCGGAAGGGAGGGTACTTCCTGAAGTTTCCTCTTGACATTTTGCCTGGCGCTTACCTGGCAGTGAGGCTTGTACGAAGTGTGCTGAGAGCATCTACTTTGGGTTCTTTTTGAGTGGCCAGGCGCCCGCGCAAGAGGGATTCTTTTCTGATGTTTCCACATTTCGGCAACCTTCAATCCACGACTTCCAGGGGTTCAATGGGATATACACATGGAGGGGTATGTTTTTTTTCTTCCCCCCTATATACACATTCTCGTTTATATATTGGCTGTATCAATTACTGGAGTTTCGTGGTTTCTGAGAGGGCCGAGTTCAGCTCCGAGTTCCGAGCCCATGCCCCCGCCGAAAGCGCCCAAAGCGCCGAAGCCGCCGAAGCCTTCGAAGCCGCTGGGGTTGAAGGCGGAGTGGAGACAGCCTCTTACTCACTGGCCCAAAGCAAATCGACCTTTTCACCTTTTGGTTTTCCCTTTGTGGTTTGGTGGAGGTCCCAAATACCTCACCTTTTGAGTTCATGAACTTTTTGCACGTTTTGGGTTTGGACCATTTTAAGTGGTAAATCAATAAACAAAAAAAAACTGATTGTTGTTGGCCCATCCACTCAGGAAGCGAGCTTACCTAGCTCACAACCCAAAGCCTTGCTATTGCCAAGATCCAAATCTGGGACAGCGACATCACGTGAGTTCAGGGGGGTGTCATGAGTCAGAAGTGAAGGTTCCTGTTTTGGGGGTGCGTAGGTGAATTCTTATTTGCGGACAAATGATCCCTGGCTTTTACCCTTGCAAATTGCAAAGATCATGACAAGCTGGTTCTTCAGGGAAAGTAGTCAGGCAAGCACGGCATCGAAGCAAACAAGCAGGCGGGCAAGCAGGCAAGCTGGCAGGCAACGAACCAATCAACCATCCAAATCAACAAAGCACCCAGCAAGCAACAAGAGCCGAAGCCAAACCCACGCATTTTGTTGAATCACAGTCAAAGCCCCACCACATCATCCCCCAGCAGCAAGGGGGCAAAGCAAACCAGGCCGACAATAGCTGAACATGAGTTTATTGATCGGGTTGAGGATGTGTTTAGCAGGCGAGTCAAGCTTCAAACCTGGGAGTGGCGGTTGGGGGAACAAGGGGTCATGGTGGCTTGCATTCTTGTTGGCTGGGAAAGCTTCCAATGAATCTCCTAAGAGGTGATGGTCTCATGCTGGAAGCCGCCGATGAAGATGTCAACTCACTTTTGCAGAAGCGGTGGATCCTCACCGGCCCGCTTTTCAAGGACTGTGGAACTGACTCAGCAACGCCTAAGTATCATGGGCATCCTGGGATCCTTGTTGTAAACATTAGCTACACCACGGATGTGCAGCACTCGTCGCAACACTCCATATTCAGCTGTGTTTGCTTTCCTGGTAGACTTGAACCCTGAAGACCTCAGCTTGAGCTAGGAAGTGCAGTGCAGCTACCGCGCAAGCAAGCGATCAAACTTGCTTGGCATAGGGGATCCTCATGCTTGCAGAACACCCTGTTAGATGCTACTTAAGGACCTTAGACGCAGCGCAATGTTGCGTCAGAAAGACAGATAGCAAGACAATAGCTCTAATCAGCATTGCGGCAAAGGCTTCTATAGCAACATATTTGCACCCAACAAAATTGCAGTACTGAAAACCACGTGCACTGAGAAGAAGAACTGCGAACGAATGTGCCATGATGGTTGGCAAGAGGGCTCTCTAGCCATGGTTTCACTCCCTTAGATGAACGTGGAACATCCATTTGATTAAGATATGTTTTTGAATTTCCCTTGCTGGTTTTAAAGGGAATCTATCACTAATTACTGGATTCTTTTCCAGGGGGCTTAAGCAAATGGAAGGGAAACTCCCAGAGGGCCTTTGTAAGTGGAACCAAGTCTTCCATAGCGGTGGGGCGGTCCTGGGAGCTTGGGTAGCTTCCTACAGCCGTAGGCTTCCTTGAGCTGACGCCAGGTCCGAGTCGGAGGCCCAGTGCATCGCCGGGCGCAAGACACGCCCGAAGTGGGAGATGCGGTGACCTACGCGGCCCGGCGAAGTTTCTTTTCTTTTTGCAGAGACGGGGACATGACTTGGTGGTTCCCAGGCATCTGGTTCCTGATCTTTTTGGCTTTTTAGTGTTTAGTGGTAGTTTCCATTTGACCCACTAAAGTGTTTAGCTTTTTTAAAAGCAAAACAGCCTTTTGCAGGGGATCTAGGGACAGCCTGTGGACACCCCAAAGGCGCACCCCGGGTGACAAAGGAGATCAAACATGCGCTCTATGTTGTGTTTCGTGTTTCAGTTGTTTGTTCTGTCGAGTTTTCGCCACAGATCAGGAAGCCAGTGAGCAAGTAGCAAGTGTCCAAACGTAGGGCTCGGGGTACCCGGCAATTGGCAGCTTGCAATTCTCCATATTCACTGGCAGTAGGGCAAGTGCGAGAATATGCGATTCATGTTGTTTCTGTTACCCCTAGGGTGCCAAGACCCTATCATGTCAGGTCTTTTGGGGTCAAAGGCCCTCATATTCGAGGTCTTGGGATCCTAGGATAAGGCATTATTATCCAGCACTTGTCCAGCTTTCCATCAGGAACCTGTTCCAAGTATGACCTGCAGATACCAACAGCGTGAGCGTGACCACTGTGCTGCCAACTTCTCCAGGCTGTTTGGACGGGAGGTTTCCAGCCGCATAGGTATGGGTCAAAATTAAGCCACTAGGGGACCGCGGGTTTGAGTCCTTGGTTCCATGTACCAGGGTTCAAGTTTGGGTTCAAGTTTGGGCACCTGTTTTTGAGCCACACCCACATCGCCACGATTCCGGAAGTGCTGTGAGAGAAGTTCCACAGCTCGCTTTCTCAGGAACCCTGGGGCTTACTCTTTCCCAAGCTGGCTGAATGCCATTACTTCGCATTGGAGCGCTTGTGGCCAACCGTCAACTCGTCAAATTGGTGGCTTTGGGGCAGATGGGCTTTTGTGAGGTTCCAGTACTGGCACGGTAGCTCTCCCGTTTTGCGACGCCCTGAGCATGTCCCAAAAGCAGCCTCGCATCGTTTGGCGCGAGTACTGGGTACATGGATCACCCAGCCTGGTTCAACAAATGCAGTTTGGGACAAAACAAAACCGTCCTATATCCCACTCTTAAAAAGGGGCACCCCGGCACACCCCCCATCAATCAACCCAGGGGTGGATTGAATCCTGGGTTCCCAGTAAATGTACTGTTTGGGGTAGGTTTAAAGGGAAGCAGAGGGCAACCCACCGTTTTTGGGCTCCCGCTATTTCAAGACACACCCAAACAATATGGATTTGCTGTTGGCATGTCAAGCCCCGCAGCTGGCGATTGTTCAGATGCAGCCCCTGAAAGGTACAATGTTTGCGTAGAAGTCTGAGGTTCATGTCACTGAAAAGCGTTTCATGTCAGGTCTTGGGAGCCTGCCCGGGTCCCGGAATCCTCAAAGCGTTCACTGGTCAGATCCATTTCTTTTCGCTACCACGGGCCACCCCGTGCGGTGCAAAGGTTTTCCTTTTGGCTTCCCCGTAAAACCAACCAAAAAGGGTGGCCTGAAAAGTCGGACACACCAACATGAAGAATCATAACATCAAACGTGTATGCTTAAAACACCCCGGAAAGGATTTCTGGGGATGGACCTCGGGATTTTACACAGGCTTCAGCACAACATCACATTATATTATTTTCCATGTACATTGATACCCCAGTAAAACATAACACACAGCACACAGCCCCCAGATGTAACATCCAACATATGGCGGTGGCTCTCAAAACTGTACTAGAATAGCACCCTGGTTGGTGGAACCAACAACGTATTCCTGCGTAACCCTAGATGTTTATGATTGAGCCGCACCCATATCATACCCCAGATGTGCAGCTTCCAAGCACGGGTAATCCGATTGGGGCTCTGAGAGCCTAGCCGAGGCGGGCTTCCGTGAGACGCCGGTGGCCGACATTCTGGGCACCGTGTTTTGTGACCTGGCTGGGAAGCGATGTCCGCTTCTACGTTTGGTTGCCAGTTTTCGCTGTGTGTGTGTGTGGTTTGTTGCAGTGTTTGTGTGTTTGCTTGCTTGTTTGTTTGTTTTTGTTTTTTTTGATTTCTTGCTTGCTTGAGGGCTTGCTCGTTTGTTTGGCTGTTTGCTTGCTTGCTTGCTTGCTTGCTTGCTTGCTTGCTTGCTTGCTTGTTTGTTTTTGTTTGTTTGTTTGTTTGCTTTCTTGCTTGCTTGCTTGCTTGCTTGCTTGCTTGCTTGCTTGCTTGCTTGTTTGCTTGTTTGCTCGCTCACTCGCTCGCTCGGTTGCTTGCTTGCTTGCTTACGTGCGTGTGTGCGTGTGCGTGCGTTTGCGTTTTTTGGATGAGCTTCTGTTCTCTCATTTTGTTTGAATAGTTTGTTTGTTTTGTTTATCAGCTTAGAGCTTGCTCTTTCTTCTTTTTAGACGGGCCACCATCTTTTGCCGCTTGATTTACGGGCAGCTTGCGGTTGAGGAAACATTGGACCACTCGTGGCCTTGCTTCTGAGTGGAACGAGCTACTGCAAAAGACGCGTGCAGGTTCGGGAATTCCCAGTTGGATGGTGAACGATATTTTGTTTTACTCAGAATATATGATATATGTCAGCGGGCCCAGTCACTCAAAGTGATGGAATACGGAATACGTAGTGCACGTGCGAGGGACGCAAAGGCTTGGCGATTCACGCTATGCATGACTAGCACCTCGCAATGCAGGCAGCTTTTGCATGAGGATGGGTCGGAATAGGAATCTGTCCAATGTGCAGACTTAAGCACTATATAGGAATTCTTGTCCACATGGTTAGAGCAATTTGTATCGTCCGCGCGGTCTAGGCCCCGAATGCGAATTTGACCGTCTCCCCCAAATTCCCTCAATCACCGAGGTGCCGACGGGGGCGGCCTTGCCGCGCTGGCTCCGGAGGATGCCGCTCATAGTAAGAAGAGCGGGAAAAACAATCCCAAAACACATTACCCGCTTGCCCAAAGCCAAGCTTTTGACCTTTAAGTTTCCCTTGTTGGTCCATTTTTAGTCAAGTTTCCAAAAGGTCAACCTTCTATTTCTGGGTCCTTTGGGCAACTGAGACTAAACTGAAGATGAAGGTTCTTTACCATTGTTTCCAGCTTGGGTTCAGTCGTTGGCTCAGATAGGAAAGTAGTGGGAGAGGGGCAGTGTTGTTATCATGAGTAGTGCTGTCGTCCTTGAGCATGTGCACTCGCCACACACGAGGAAGCATGCAGAAGGTTTTGAAGCAGGATATGTTCGCGGAAGGTCCGCGGAATCTTTGCGGTTTGATTTGAACTGTTTCAGTTTGCGTGCATTCCTTTCTGTGCCAGTACGCGCAGAAGCAAAGCTTTCAAACCAAAGCAGTGGAGGGGCGCAAAAGCAACCAAGAAGAAACACGTACCGCCGAAGTCTGCAGAAGGAACCGTTTCGGCCCGCGTCAAGGATGCGGAAGGGTCTGTGGAAGCTTGAGCAATCGCCAAACAAGTTGAACGACTATAAACAAAAAGCTCGGATGAAAGCAGTAGCAAGCAACAAGCCAAGTCGAAGCCACGACAAAGGGGGGCTTGTATCGATATGTGTTGATCAAGGGTATCAAGGGCTGCGACCTTTCTATGGCCGTTACTTGAGCGTATGGTGTTCTGAGTGGCTGCACTAAGGTTGGATTTAGGACTTGCGACCTGCGGCTTCCAAGAACCCCATGAAACTTCGAGAGTTGGCATTTGACTTTCTGAGGGAACATGGGGTTCAAACAGCACCTGGCTGGGCCAGATTACTTAGTAGCCACTGAATTGCTGCCATCTTTACACCGTGCGAACCATTTTGTTTGGACCTTGTGTTGATCCCTGTTTTCATTTGTGGAATCATTTGGAACCATTTTGGGAGCCAGTTTTGGAACATCTTGGAACCATTTGTTGTTTCATGTTTGCAACCATCTTTGGACCCATCTTCGGAACCATTCTTCGTTTGGCACCAGCTTCCATCTGCTGAAATGAATATTTGTTATTTCCCCTGTTGGTTTAAAAGGAATCAATTTCACTATTTCACTACTGGACATATGTTCTCACTTTTTGCTGGGGGCGAAAAGCTAATGGAAGAGACGCGATTTGTCAAACTTTACCAGGGAACCTCCCCCACAATAAACAGGAGTCACCAAACTTTGACACTGGGGGTCGTCCAGAAAGAAACCGGTGCTGGCCCTTTAAACTACCATGGAAGCCAGTGAGTTTCCCATTTTTGCACGGGGACTGACCCTCCCACCGACTAACATGGAAGTGCACAGACCCCGGTCGACAGACTACAGAGAGAGGGTCTTTGTGTACTTCCGTGTTAGTTGGTGGGACGAAAAGGCAAGTGAAAGAGAAGTTAGATTTGTACAACTTTACCAAGGAACATCCCCCTTGTTTGTTTCAGGGGTCAACCAGCTTTGGAGCTCTTTTTTTTTCTCCGGAACCACAAGGCGGCACCAGGTCCCAAGAAGGGTCCATATGTTTGACAACACCCCAAACGGAAGCAGTTTGTCTAGAACCATCTGTTGTTTCATGTGTATCTGTTTGGACCCATCTTTGGCCGCAGTGTTGTTCTTTGCTTGGCCCCAGTTGAAAAAATACATTCTCCGTTGGCCCCCGTGTTTTTTTTCTTTCCATTTTTGCGGGGATCGATGAGGTCTTTGTAGATCTGGGCTGCGGCCACGGGGAGGTGCTGCTGGCCGCGAATGCCGCCTGCCCCAGGCGCGCGTTTCGTGAGAGCAGTGTCTTTCGCTGGAGGGGGGAACCTTCCCCCCGTGTCCACTAACATGGACCCACCACAAGGTCCCTTTTCTAGGAACATAGTCTTCAAGCACCCCCCAGTCAGGTTCCATGTTCGTGGATGGGAGGGTACCCTTTTCATGGTTGCTAGGTCCCCCAGCTAGGTGCCCTTTTTAACCCCTTTTGTGGTTGGGAGGGTTCACCTATTTAAGATAGAGTACAGAAAGAAGTTGCTACCCTTATTCTAACCTCGCTACTGGAGGACCTAGCTTGGTTCAAGCGGCAGCCACAGGGGAAATGTCTTGTTGAGGGTAGTGTTGACCCAGATTAGTAAACCCCTGTATATTCATATAGGGGTGTCCCTGACTTTCAGGTTTTAGTGGGCGTTCATCACTTTTGGAGGGGAACCCCCCCCATATTAATAGGTGTGTTTGTCTCCGGGGTCAGCTTTTTTTTCTCCGGGGTCAACATTATTATTTTCATGGTTTGTTGAAAGGGAAACTACAGGGAAGCTTGCATTTGCCGGTTGGTTTTACCCCCTTGTTTTGTTTCAAAGGGAATCTATCACTACTGGAGCCTCTTTGTTTTCCAGGCGGCTTAAGCAAATGGTGGAATTCACATTTCACAAAGACCCATGTCCCAAGTCCTGCTCTTTCAGGGGAAGCAAGAGGAAACCACCGAATTCCAGCGCTTTGGAGACGGAAGGATACGGATCATCTAGTGACTAGTCCGCTGGCTCTTGCGGGAAATAGAACTCGTCCCGCATGTCCCTCCATACCGTAGACTACTGGAAATGTTCACCGAACATTTGACCCTCCCTTGTTTTGTTCCTTAAACGACCAACCGCCGGATGACACCACACCTCAGTTTTGCTTGCATTTTTTCAGTTTTCCCAAATCAACCCCAAGGATCTCTACAACGACATGCCCACATACCCATTGGGGTGGCTCATCTTGTTTTAGGATTCGCACCCCCCAAAATGGACGACTTCCCCCCTTTTAGCCTTTTAGTGTTTAGTGGTAGTTTTCTTTTAACCCACTAAACGTTAGTCACTTTTAACGGGGGCGAGAGCTGTGAGACTTGGGCGTCGGGATGGTTCCACTGTTCTTACCATGGGACAAACGGGAGGAATCATCCAGGCACTCACTGCCTTGGGATCCATGCCCTTCATTAGGGGTGTTAAGCTTCCCTTTTGGCTTGTGTTTAAAAATACCAACCAAAAGGGGGGTCCACCATTTGGGTGTTTCCCTTTTTCTTGCGGGGGGGGGGGGGAGGCACCTCTTATTGGTTGGCTTTAGAATGAACGCCAGAGGAAAGCCGAACTCTCATATCTTCGGCTTCACTTTTCTTGGATCAAGTTTGTCTCTTCTTTTGTCCTTTTTTTTTGGTGGGGGGAGGGAGTTCTGTTCATTTTGAGTTGGGGGCTGCAGAAAAAAAGGAACAGCTTGTCGCCAGCCCATACCGTTGGGTTGTGAAGTGAGTGCTGGCCGCTAGCAATCCGATGGCGATTGCCGATGCCGATGCTCGAGGTGCTGCGTGGTCGGGGTGGAGATGGATTCCACGGCGTGCCATCGAGCCCAGGCAGCGGTGGCCGGCAGAGATATCCAGGCTGGACCGCGGATCTCTTTTTTGTTTTTCTCTCGCAGGGCTCGTTAAACGAGTTGGTGTTGCAGACCTCCTTAAAACGAGTTGGTGCGCCTGCTCCAAACATCACTTTCTCCGAGTTCCCTGGCTTGTTTTTTGTGGGTTCGGACCATTCGCTGCCAAGCAACTCAACTTGAGACTTCTTTTTGGCCACTCGATCGGAAGGGATCTCAGATCATGTCCACCAGATTTGTCACGGAATAAAAAAAACATTGGACTAGAAAAGCTTCTCCATGGAATACGTGAATCCATTTGAGACTTCTTTTTGTCCACCTTTCTTGGTTGATGTTCAAACATATGTAGAGCCCCCTACGTCCATTGGGCTTCCCGGCCCGGTTGGCTTCCTGCGCGCTGTGCACACCAATCCAAAAGGTAGGGCATATATTCAGGTACATAAATAATATATGAAAAAAAACACGAATATTCCCAGCTTGCGTGTGTTGCATTTCAACTTGTAGATGCTGCCCCATGCAATCCTTTTACTCTCAAGAAATTCCAGCCTCTAGTTTTTCCATGCCTATTCGGGAAGTGGCAATACACGTATCCTGGCTTGTGACTCACTTTGCTCGCACTCTTTTGGCCGAGCAGCAGGCTCAGTCGTGGCTTGCTGGCTTGACCACAGAGATTGAGGTGTTGCAAGCTGAGCTGCACAGGACTCAGCGAATCATCAGCGGATACGGGGCCCTTCTTGAGCGGTGCGAGCGTGGGCACAGATTTCAGGCATTTGGGAACCTGTGCTTCACGATCATCCTTGTTGCATTGACCGCCCTACTCTTTGCAAGTTGGTGTAGGTGCAGGCGGGTTGAGCGGCCTCCGCAGTTGACATCCGGAGATTCCACGAGCTCGGACGAGCCTGGGCCGCTAGTCCAAACTGGGGCCACCCCTCAGCCAGGCCCGCGCCGACCATCAACTTTCAGCAAAGGTAAAAGATGAACGCAGACTCCACGACGTTGGACGTTGCAGAGCCTCAGGTCCTGGTTCACTTTGACCAGGACGCCAACAATCTGAACTATCACCATCGTTTGCTTCTCAACAAGCTGGGGCCAGGTCGTTGGGTGGGGCTCACGCCCGACCATGAGCTTGTTGTTCTGGATTTGAACACGCAGCGTCATGTGGTTCTTGACCGCCGTAGCAGATTTCCACCGCATCTTCAGGACCGTGTTTATGCTTTTGATCCGCTGACTCGGAACGAGCTGGAGGGGTACAACCACAGGGCAAAGACCATGAAGGTCGTCCTGGGAGATGCTGACGTCCAAGACATCGAGGCCTTGGCGTGGATCTATGCTGACCCAGGTTCAGACAAGCTTGGCGAAGTTGTGCCCCAGGAGCTTTTGGACCAGATGGTTGTCTTAGGGGACCGCGCTCTTTTGGAGGTTGACGGAACAATCGAGGCGATCAAGGAGCTACCCCAAAGTGATGTCAGCAGTTTCAAAGAGACAGCCAAGGGTTCACTGGGTGACGTGCGGACGATTGGGGTGCATTGTGATCAGCATAAGCGTCGATTTGTGTCATTAGCAGACGGGCTGTCCCTCGTGCGCGAAACCAAGTTTGAGGACTGGGGGTTCAGCGGCCCGCGTGCCACATTGGAGTTTTTGACATCAATCCATGAAAGCACCAATGACTTGCAGGGGTATCATTTCCAATGGTTGAAGCATAGTGGGGCTAACCAGCACTCGTCCATAGTGTACGAGCATCGGAACTTGATTGAAGTGCTCAGGTTGGGGCGTTGCCGTGACCAGTTGGATGTGACGAATCTGCTATCTTTTGAATTGATCACCAGAAGAATCATCCAGATTGAAATTGCTGTCTCTCGATCACCTGCGTCGCCAGAATTCGCATTGTTTGTGCAATCGTCGCCATCGTATAGCTGTGACACATCACTTGTGAAGCAAAAAGCGTGTTGCCCGCTGGGCAGGACTGATTGACAGGTTGTGGATGGCAATATATATATATATATGTGTGTGTGTATGTATGTATATATTTGTGTATATGCTGCCCACCCCCCGCCCATGATCCACCTTTGCATATCATTGCCGTTTGTGTTCTGTCCCATCTGCAAATCCAATGCAGCTGATTCTGGAGACAGTTCCACCTGCAGGCCACTGTATTCATACCTGTTTGTTTCGTGTCCTGTCTGCAGATTTACATCAACACGATGCAATTTTCGCAATAGAACTCTATATTCAAACCTCAGAAAATCCAATCAAAATCCATTTGGACAAAGAATTCAAAGCGATTCTATGTCTTTAAGTTATTGTTTATGGAAAGTGTAATTGATATGCCCATTGAGTTATGTCAACGCCTTCTTTTGATCAACATCTTAGTTGGTATAAGGAGCCTTGAAAGGACCTTTTTTGGAACTTCATGAAGGTAAGGCCTTATTCGTACTCAGAAGGAAATTTAGAAGCAAGCTGTAGAAGGATTTTCTTCGAGAGAAGCTTTGTAAGTATCTTTATACTAAGTATCTTTATACCTAGGCCTATAAGGAGCTTTGTGCGGAGCTTTATAAGGAGCTTCAAAGGAGGCTAAAAGAAGCTTTGCAATGAGCCTTAGTAAGTAGCTTGAGGAAGCCTTATTGGGAGCCTTATGAGGTTTCAGTCACCAAGATAAAGCTAGCTGTTGAAATCTGCTTCAAAATCGAAACTCTAGCTCCAACCTGTTCTTCTTGAGTTCTATGTTGATTCTAACATTTGTGTACTCAAGGCCCTATTTGGGAAGAAAATCCTTTTTTTCAGTCTAATCTAGACTGAGGTCGGTGACTGCCCAAAGCAACTCAGTGGTTTGTTGGTTTTCCCTGCGTGTCAGAAGGAAAACACGTACATGACTTGTTGGGCTTTTGATAGGCTACTGCGGAAACACATAAAACCAAACAACCCAAACTTTGAGAGGAAGCTAAGAGAAAAACTTGATAAAACGCAGGAAAATACAGAAACCATAAATCTCTGGTAGACCACCTTTGGTTTCAGCCCCAAACTTTGCCGTGTGTGTTTTACAATTGCCTGACCACCAGTCAGCATCTCAAACGTTTGTGCAATGACTTGCCACTTAGAAAAAAGACAATCTCATTATTTGTGTAGCAATGGGATAGACTTGAACTGCTGCAGGACAGCGGATATTTTCAAATCAAAAAGCACCGCCAGCTGCGCCAAATGGACAAATCTGCGCTTCAAACTGCTTCTTCGTGTTCAGCATATATTTGTTCTCGCAATTGAGCTGGTTGATCAAGGGCAATGCCGATGAAGTCTGCAAGGTGGGGGCTTGTTGAAGTTGAAGACGTTCTGGGCTCCTTATCACTAAGCATACGCAGTTGGGTTCGCAGGTATGTCTTGGTGCCAGCGTGGTCCTGAAAGTCGAAACGTAGAACGTCCACTGTGAAAATGTTTGCACTCTTGTGCAAAAGGACCTTCGACAGTTCCCAAGCTTTTTGCCGCAATCTGATTGGTCGTGATGAGCTGGAAAGCATGTGGGCCAGATAGGCCAAAGAGCAAAGTGGTGGGTACAGTGGCAGCTTCTGCTTTTACCTTGAGCTGGTTGCCGTGTATATACATGGCCTGACAAGATTTCGGGCTCTCAGCACTCACCCACTTCTCCTTGCACTGCCGCCGGCTTAGGCACACGTAGCTTGCATATTGGCACTGGGCTTTTGTGTTCCCTTTCCAGGGGCATGTTTCAACAGATGCTCCACGCCAACAATGGTTGAAACTTGGTTTTAACCAAAAGCTGGTTGTTTAGACAATTGGTAAAAATTGGTGTGACAGCGCGCGAAAACAAGGGGTTCAGCCCACCCTGCTGCAAGGGTAACACGGGGAACCATGGCTTGAAGTGTTAATTTGAAGCGATACTGAAGTGATACCTTCCGCTTCTGAGAAAGCACCAGTTGAAGCTGAAAGCAAACTCAGCTTTGATGCTCCAAAGAAAGCTATATCACCACACTAAGGGCCATGCCTCTAGACTTTAGACACGATTTATCATGTATCACGATGTGGTGTTGTAGGTACTTCTTGATGTACGGGTATCCTCGCCCTTTGCGCAGTATATTCATAAACGTATTTATTAATCTTGTTGTCTAGATGTGGTAGCCCCCAGCCCTCATGGGCGTACATGTTCCCAATTGCTTTTCGTCTGAGAGTTTATTCTAGTACAGTACTGTACTAGAGCTGTAGTACCGCACACTTTGGGTTTAATTTATATGCCCGACATCTGACCTTCCCGCGCCTGTACCAACCTGTTCCAAGGCATTCGTGGCGCGCCAGGGCGGCGGAGGCAACCCCTACACGCCTGTGCGAAGATTCTTGAACTGTGCTTTATTCCGAATCAGACACATGAAGCCTGTTGAACGTGGATGTGTTCTGTACAAACGCAACCCGATCAGGGCGCACTCATCGGCCATGTTGGTGGGAGTTTTTGGGTTTGCAGTTTCTGGGGGTAGCTTCAAAGCTTGCAAGCTTGGGCGACTCTCCCCCCACATGCCTCCGCTCCTGACGCTAAACAGGCAACTGTTCCAAGCAACCCTGGATACTAAGCTAAAGCGGCGCGAGAGGGCCAGGTTCTATGTTGGTGACGTGAGACATGGCCTAATGACAGTAATTGACGTGTTTTGGGGCTTGTTTTGGTCTTCATACACCGTGTCAGAAATGTGGAACGTGCTTTTTGGGCGCCCGGCGAGCGCCCCGCAAAAAGCATGGAGCTTCCGAACACGAGCTTTGTTTTTTCATGGACATGGCAGGCCAAGGCATATTTCCCTTGCGGCAGCCCCGGAGATTTGCTACGCCAGCTCCCGGGTCATGTAGCTCCACGTTAGTTCCCAAGAGTGTAGCGAAAGCTAGCGAACGGATCATTGGCGCACTCTGCAGGACATGCGGCGACTGAAGGCGGCAGGGTCAACCGGCTAATCCCGGTGGTATTCGGAGGACCCTGCCGCGTTGCTCCCACTCTTGCGCTGAGTTGTTGAGCGTCTTGTCCCACAAGCTGACTTCGCAGAGGCTTTGCTGAGGTTCGTTTTGGGGGGGAGCACGAAAGACGGCCTGACGAATTGGAGTCTGAAAAGAAATCTTAACTTCTTTTGCGGGGAGAAGCCAAGGCGTACGCTTCCCAGAGCGCGCTTTCGAATCACATCTTACTAGCTTTAGTAAAGTTAGGTTTCAATATTTGAGAGCCACATATTCGTTTGTTTGTTTGGCTACTACAGCAGATTCCAGACTACAGTGACTACGGTGACTGGTTCGCGGACACGAGCCGGCCGGCAATGCAAAACTGGTATGTGTTTGCTATGCTGACATGGTCATGTGTGTTAGGTATAAAAATTACATACGTAGTTTGTGCACCAGAGCGGCCGGCGCTGCACAAGACTGGGCAATTGACTTGCGAGGTTCTCTTTGGAAAAGAGATCTGAGCGCCCTTGGCCCCAAGGGGCCGAGACGACACTTACTTGCGCGCGTTCGGAAGAGTCAAGTCGAGCTTACATACGGTTTACTTTTTGCACATGTCACATGTCCAAGAAACGCAAAACCTGTTTTCACACGTTGCAAGCATGATCGCAAGAAGGCGCCATGTTTTTTGCATGCGCAACTCATCTGGTCAAGGGGTTTGCGCGCGCGCACACACACACACACTTGGATTCTGCATCTTACACATCAACCTACAACTCATGAAGCTGCGATTCCAGGCAGTCTGGCATTAAAAATGACTTCCAAAAGCAAAGGTAGATACAAAAGGGGGTTGGGTGACAATATATGTATATCTACCCATGTATATGCCGTGAAGCTGCAAAGTTACCGTCATTCACTTTATGTAGGACCATTTCACACAGATGTTGTTTTTGATTTCTCGAAAAAACGACCGGGGCGTCGCAAAAGGCGTAAAGCCTGACAAGCAGCACTGGACAAGATGCGGGAATCCCAAACAAGTAACTTTGACGCTGACTCATACACATACCACTGTCAGGATACCCTTGAAATAGACCAGCCTTTTTTTGTTCAACCAAACTTGTCAAGAGGCAAAGCAGCTGGCGTCTGAACGGATTCGTCCTTCCCTTCTTCGTGGCCTTTGCCAAATGAACGCAGCCCTTGTGTCTAGTGGTTACTGTCATGGTGACATATTCTGTTGTTTGTGGATTGACAACGGCCTTGAGGTGTGTCAAGAAGTCTTCACGTTTGGATGCTGCAAGGAAAGCAGCCAGGCCCAGTTAGATTCACCCGTTCCACTGCAAGCTCAGACACACGATTGGTTAACCAAGTCCGTAGTCCAAGGAAATCCTCAAAGCCGACCCTAAGGTCGTTGCACGATGCGGTGCTGGTTGGTCTCTGTTCGGTGGCTCCGTCAATGAACCCTCTGCCCGGGCGTCCTTACTTTCCTTCTTTTTCTAGGGGACTACATAGACACAGTGTTGTCCTGGTGGGTTTCGTGTTGGGTTATTGCTGTTCCTCTTTTAATAGATATGTGATGTGTTTTCTGGACGTACTTACCTCGGTTCTGTGCAGCTTCCTCAACCATTTTATCACGCTAAGAGCAATTTACGTTCTTTGATACTGATACACCTTAAATTCCTTTTAATACATTTTTAATCCGCCTTTGATGAGCCTGGGTGCCCTCGGGATTGTTTGCCTTACAATAGGGGAACCCCAAGCTGGGTTGTTTTCATTTTGGTTTCCCTTTTAATCTGGCCAACAAGGGTTCTTTACACAAAAACACACCCGCCTTCATATGCCTTCCAACTCGGAAATCAACTGGCGCCCATGCGAGGTGCTGCAGGCGGATGCGGACGAATGTCACTTGGGAAGATTTGGCGGCTTGTGAGCAGTCCGGCTGGGTCGTTTATTTGCCGGTTCCCTGAGTAATCAGAGTCAGAAGGGGTTGTTCTGTAATCTACAACTTCAGGGGTGACTTGAGAATTGCAAACTAATGGGACCAGGCTTTTCAGGCGAGTCTTGGGATTGTTTGTTTCACGTTACTTTTTTGGGGCTGGAGTAAGGAACCACATTATGCTGGGCTCATGTTGACACAAGCCCGTTCTGGTTCTGGGATCCTGACAAAGGCAAACGAACAGAAAACAACAACAACTTTTGGTTGGCCCCGTTTCGAAATAGTGGACCCTGCTTTCCGTCCCCCATCTTGTCATATCACCCTTTCTACCTGTTGATCCATAGCAAGAACAGGCTAGGGTCAGCCTTATAGATGCGGGTTTAAGGAAACATATGTACGTTGTGCTGCTTTTGGTGTACCGCTGCTTGTCACATTTGATGTTGTTTTGGTCGCTGTTCGTCCTTCTGGTGGTATGTGACTACGCATGTTTATGGGCAAGGTTTGCAAGTGATGTCCGCGAAAAGGTCAAACCAACATTTTTCATCACGCAAACCAGTTCTCCTTAAGTGGGATGTGAGAGATGCATTTCACCAAGCACTGGCATCCTTCCACCGTTTGTCCCCTCCCTCCCTCCCCTCCCTCCCTCCCTCCCTCCCTCCCTCCCTCCCTCCCTCCCTCCCTCCCTCCCTCCCTCCCTCCCCCTCCCTCCCTCCCTCCCTCCCTCCCTCCCTCCCTCCCTCCCTCCCTCCCTCCCTCCCTCCCTCCCTCCCTCCCTCCCTCCCTCCCTCCCTCCCTCCCTCCCTCCCTCCCTCCCTCCTTTTTCCTCCGAACTTCTTCATGCGACTTGAAGGCCGATTCTCTCGTGTTTCTTGGTTTGTGTGCGTGCGTGTGCGTGTGCGTCTGCGTGTGCGTGTGTGTGGTGTGTGGTGTGTGTGTGTGTCATGCGTTGCAAGCGCCATTCGAAGGATACATTTACAGTTGGCAGTGTGGCCGGGGGGACTACAATTTGTGGCCTCCGGGCCTGAAGTGACGTGGCAATTCCGCGTTTGACGCAGCCGGCAAAAACGTGTGTAGCTGTCTAAAGCAGCCCCCCCCCCACATGCATGCATTAAATGATTTGAAGGGCATTTTCGGGTATGGGTTTTGGAGATATGGAGGTTATATAAGTTATATACTACTGTATAAGATGAATATACTGAATATACTGCCTTACCAGCTAATTTTGCTCCAAAACCCATACCTGGAAATGGTTCTTGAGTTTCCGCAAATCCCACAGCCGCTTGGTTTCGTTGCGCGTCTGCTGGAGTCGAGGCTTTGCTACACCTCTGGAGGAGATGACCTCTGTGAGCGGATTGGATCCAAAGAGACCCTTGCTGGCACAGGCCACTGTGGCGCCTCGGTTTTTATTGTGGTCGGGGACTTGATGATATCTCAACGGCCGTTTTTTTTTTCAACAAATGAGCAGGAATTGGGTTATCTACTACTGTTGATGGACGAAATCCTGCACCACTTTGAAACCATGGGAAGCCATTGCTTGTGTGTATTTAGAGGGGAATCATTATTCCATTCAGATGCCCTGGAATGAGACGATTTGACCACAACACCCCGGATCGCACACGGATGGCAAACTGGAGGTTTCCATGTAACCAGTTCCTGCAGACCAGCCTGCCTCAGGGATCCTGCGACTCGAGGTCTACCTCTTCCTCGGGGAGTGGGCCAATCTTCGGCTGCGGCCCCGGCTCCTCAGCGCCCTGCCGCTTGGCGCCCGCGTCATCAGCAGGCCCTGCAGATCCGATCTACGCCCTGCCCCATGAGGGTGTTGAATGATACCTCTGGCGGGTTGTTAATTAACCAGGTCCCCCATCGTGCCGTTTCTTTTACCGTTTCTTTTTTGGGGGGAGGTTTCGGAACCCTACTAAAATAGACTGCTGAAAAAAGGGTACCCTTATTCTAAGCTCTCTACTGGAGGACCTAGTTAATGCACGTTCGTAAATTCTTGCTTGATCCTGGCTGGTTGCCAATATCCACCTCGACTGAGCGATGTCTATCAAGCGAGATTGGAGATGTGGCCCTCAGAAAGATCGAGCGTGCAATGACAATATTCTGTGGCGCTTGACAGATGTTGGCATTTACTCCAACCATTATGTCGTGAATGAAGGATACCCAAGCTCTGATCAGAGCATGTCGCTTATTCACGGAGCGCTTCAGGTCAGTTTGGCATGACAGACTCCCTCAGGTGATGCCAGATTTCTGGAGCCCACTGCTTCAAGCACACGCCCATGACACTGATCCCGAGTGGTGCTTGTTTTTTTTGAGTGTGGGTGGAGCCTCCAGCCTTAATTTGTGGTTTGGATTGGTGGTTTGGGGGGTTGAACCCCTGGCTTTTGTAGAGGGTTTGCGTGGGCAACGCCTCCATTTCTCCAAACCACCAATTGGAGGGAAGCTGAAGACCTTCTGGTTGATTTTGCTGGGGGTGAGTTTTTGTAGCGGGGGTTCAGACCACTTTTGGAGGGAACGCCCCCTATAAGCAGGAACACCCCCAATTGGAGGGAAGCTGAAGCAGTTGAGCCTCTGGGTGTGGGGCTGGCTCGGAGGAGCTTCTCCATGGGGCAGTGGCCCGCAGACGCAGAGATCCACAGCAAGGAGGCCTTTGGGCGCGCGGCAGGGCGGAAACACTTCCCGAGAACTGCTGCGTTTGAGTAACTTTTTGTTGGAAAACCCATTCCTAAACTCTTTTTCGACAAAGGCTATTGTTTCGGGGCATTTGATTTTCTAGGTTTTAGTGGAATGTAAAAAGTTTGGACTTCTTTTGGGCAATCCACTCAGGAAGTGCGAAGAGCAAATGCCGGGAATCGACCGGTTCTGGTGAAAGCGGCTGGGCGGTGCCCGCACTTTGACCCCTTGGGGTGGCATTTGGGTAGGTGACTTACCGGCTCTACAAAGTGACAGAGGCGGCCAAGCAGATGGAGAGTCTGGCATCAAGCCAGGAATTGGAGGATCGATTTGGTTTACACTGGCTGCTGGTCTCACTTGGCCCCCCCCCAAAAAAAATTGGACGGCTTTCGTGCTTCTTCATTTTGGTATGGGTGGATTGTATGAGCCGTTCTTTGAGTTGTTTATTTGACTTCAGCAAACAGAAATACAGAGAACTGCTCTTGCCCGATTGGTTGCATCAGTGTGTCACAATAGGTGGAGCCCCAAAACCCCAAAGATGGCTTCTTGAACCCAATCTGAAAATGGAGGTTCCCTCCAACACGCGCGCCAAAACACACACACACACACACACAAACCCACACACAAACCCACCCAGCTTGTTTCAAGTAGGGGCAGCAAATGAGGCCACCTGTGGTCTTGCTGTTGCCTCGCCTTGAGGGGGTTTCATGTGGCTGGGCCAAGGTTGCAGCCTCCGCCGGGCAATTACCGGCCAGCCAAAGCAGAGCTGGAGACGGAGGAAAAAGAGAAAAACAAACCCGGCAAATGAACATGAAACCCACAAAGGGGGGTATGAACCAAAAGGATTTTTCTCCACGAAAATGATGTTTGTTGAGTTCCAGGGTGATGTGAAGGGGAGTTTGCTTTCAAAAATGGATGTGGATTTCGGGCTTTTCGGCAAGTTGTTGAGGCAATTGCGGGTTGAGGAATCGCATTTCCTCATCGGAAGCATCCAAGCTTTTGGGCTCCAGGCTTGAACCAAAGTCAGCCGACTTGGGACATATCGGATGGTTTCGGGTTTAATTACTCTATTGGGCTGCTAATTTGAGTTCAGACTACTGCTTTCACACTCCAGGTAGACACCCGACCCACAAGGGACACAGTGCCGCATGCTGCTCTTTTGCAAACGCGCGAGTTTTGCTGGTTTTTCGGTGTGGTGGCTTCCCGCATGCTGGCCAAACTCACTGGGAGCTTCTGAAAACCGTGGACCCCTTTAAACAGTGGACCCCCTGTTTAGGTGGTATTTAGAGGGAAACCAAAAAGAATCAATCCCAGCACGTCCGACAGTGGACCCCTTTTGGTTGGTACGCATTTAATTGGAAACCAATAAGGAATCCTGTTTTGAGCGACCCTATTTTCCGAAATCCCACCACGTATCCCAAGACTTTCTCGCCCGGGCGACGCCGGCAGCCCTTCGGGCCAAATGCTATGGCGCGCTGGTTCCTGCTGCTGGCGGCGCTCTTCCTGCACGGCTGTGATGAGGCGCGCTTTCCCTTCGCGCGTGCCGTGCTGTTCGCCGGGAAACAGGGAAACCAAAAGGTAACCAAGCATTTTTTGGGGGCCTCCAAAACAAACCAAGCCCATGTGGAACTCAAGTTGGGAACACTAGATGCTTGCAGGAAGTCAGCAAAGACATCGCTGCCATCTGAAGGCTTCTCCCGTATTCACAAAGAGTCAATAGTTGTCGCGGCCTTTTTCTTGGCAGTGGAAACAACCCCAAAGCCCCGATTTTAGAACAGACGGACCCCTGGCGTCATGTTCCACCTCCTTCAGAATGTGCATAAATCACTCACTTCTGGATTTGTGTTTTCCAAATGGTGGCTTCGCATTTGATTTGGGCCCCTGAGTCATAGCGCTGGTTCCAGCCAGGCCCAAAGCTACGAGCAGCTGCAAGCGCTGCAGCGGCTGCGAAGGTGCGACGCGCAGGCAGAGGCGGGCGCGAGCTCGGGGCTTCCTGAGGGCTTCCCGGAGCTTCCGGAGACTTCCCGGAGGGGGGGAGCTTCCAGGAGAAGTGTCCCAAGCTTCCGAAGCTCGCCTCCCAGATGTTTTCCGGAAAACGGTGTCTTCTTCGAAACGAGATTCATATGTTGGGCTCGACCTAAAATATGAAACAACATCTGACAAAACGTTTCGTGGTGTGTGAATGTGGGCCAAGGCTTGTGTACTCCAGATGTGACTCAAGACTATTTCTTGTGCCCTCCAGATGTGGGCCAAGGCTTGTTGTGTTGGGAGAACTGTTTGCAATGGTTTAGTCGGTGAGATCACGTCGTGTGCCTTTGCTTGTGCAGAACACCACATGTAATTGGCTATGGGCAAAGGCATGCATAATAGCAACTCCAGCAACATCCAGCTCATCCAGATGAGTTAATGTTGACCCCATACTTCGACCCCAGTTTATGACTAGGGGTGTCGGGTGTCCCTGGTTTTAGTGGAGATTCATCACTTTGAGAGGGCAACACACTATCGATAAACTGGGGTTGATTCATATGGGGTCAACATGCCGACCTCCACGGCTGGCGCCTTAGGTGGCGCCGGCGCCTCGCTGGGCGGACAACACGGTGCGTGCAAAGTCCACGGAGCCGGCGATGAAGTCCAAGCTGCAGGCCGGCGACGGGGAGTTGGCTCCGGAGTCACAGGGGTCCCGATAGGTCCCCAGGATCGTGCCCTTTTACCGTTTCTTTTTTGGGGGAGGGTTCCGGACCCTACGAAAATAGACTACAGAAAAAGGGTACGCTTATTCTAACCTCTTTACTGGAGGACCTAGTATGTTTTCCCTTTTTGATGGTTTCAAACAACACCTTTTTGGCCCACGAAAGGTGAACAAGGGAGCCCTGATTCACAAACCAAGACGCCCAGAGAGAAGTGTCTCCGTTTCGAGCACACGGAAATTCCGGGGATTTCCGGGTATTTCCGGGTAAGTGCTTTGAGTTGGCACCAACGCCCTGGAACAAGTTCAATCACCCTCTGATTCTTGGGGGCAACAGAATCTTCAGTTGCCGCAGACCCGGTCTATCGCTGTCGGTTTGTCAGTGTCTCGTTGGAAACAGCACACAAGAGTGTTTGTGTCACATCATCCGTGTATCGTGGCTTCATAGCAAGCCTTCTTCGGGCCCACAGGCAGCGTGTAACATGACTTTTCAATGAATTCCCACTTTTGGGCAAATTGCGACCTAAGGGATTTGTGTTTGCCCCCGTGAGGATATGTCTGAAACAATACCCCTGTGTTTTGTGGTTTGGAAGAACAGCTAAAACGCACTTTTTTGGGGTCATCCGAAAAGACGAGCCAGCCATTCCCTTAAGGGTCCCCCTTAGACACCCGCTGCCTTAGGTGCTGGAGAATGCGAGTGAAGAGCACCAGCACGGCAGGCGCAAACTGACATTTCCGGGCGCGACCAGCAACTGCTTTACGGCGAGCTCTGGGGGGTAAAAGGAGCTCACCGTTGATATGGCCATGGGTCATATCCTATGGCTCCATTTTGGGGCGGATGAACACCCATGTACCACCTATTTTGATGTTCACCAAGGGTACAGGGTTTTGACCCACAGCCAGGCCATATAATATCTTCAACTGTGCAATTTGGTCTGTTGCTGCTGGCACAAGCTAGAAATTGGAGATTGTTCATGTGATTCACATGGCTGTTGCATTGATTCATGTAGTTCAATGTAGTTTAGCTTCCTTCAACGAACGGCGACATGTGCCAGTTTTGTGGCGCACGATTTATCTTTGTAAGCCACAAAGTGCTTCGGAATTCCTTTGCCAGCCTTTCACAGCAGGCATTTGCAGTGGCGAATCCTTGGATATGCTTCCAGGTCCCCCAGTGCCCTTTTTACCCCTTTTTAGGGGAGGGTTCCCCCACTAAAATAGACTACAAAAAATGGGTTGGTAGCCTTATTCTATCCTCTCAAATCTGGAGGACCTAGGCTTAGGCAGGGTTCAACGGACACCGCTTTGGTGGATATGCTTCTGCAGCGGATGTCGAGGATCGTATCCCTTAGGCCAGGCAAGAACCTTGTGAGATCAGCTGTGTGCCGCGATGCCGCTTTGGCATGCCATTTGTTGACGTGTGAAACGCAGTTTGGGTGTGTCTCTTTTTAGAGGATCCATGAGGATCCCCAAAATGGTGGGGTTTCCTGCTGGTGTCAAGGTCCCAATCCGTATATGTTTCCCAAAGTACCCGAGACTCGTTTTGGTCGTCTTGTTTTGCAATACAACCCTTCTCTCCGGACCGCTCATCGTTTCGGCCGCTTTTCTTTTGTTCGGGTGGTTTGATCGCCTGCGTGGTTTCAAAGGGACATACCAGAACCTCAGGGAGCCAAGCCTTTGAGTTTAGACTTCCCTTCGTAGACCTAAGGAGGTCTATTGGGAGGGGACCGGGTTTGGAAATGAAATGGAAAGGGGACTTCCTGAAAGGAAACCATAGGTTGGATGGTTTTTCTCGGAGGTATTCCAACTCATTCCCTGCCTATCGAACCAGCAAGTTTAAGGTTTCAGCAAAGGGAAGCCTAAAGCAAACACCATCCTAGGGGCGTCCCCAGATTTTTGACACATACCCATAGGCTCCCTTGGTCTGGAGAAAAAGACAATCGTCACGGAGGCTTGGCGCAAGCCGTGACGGGAGCCCGCGGCTCTCTGTCACCCCTTTGCCAGCGCGGGGTCTCTCGGAGAAGGACCGGCGCCGAGTTGACATCAGATCCCAAAAAAAGATTTCGTTTACAGCTGAGTCCAAAAACCGACTCTTTTTTTTGGAGTGGGTTGCAGCGTAAAATTTGGACGGAGGTTGGATACCTTCGGCATTTTTGTTTCTGTAGTTTTAGTTGGGTCAAACAAAGCACACCCCGGTTGGGTTTTTGCCCAGGAGACGGTGGAGTCCCACAGGGGCTTCTCCTTCAGTAGCCGTGCCAGTGAGGCCACCGACATCGACCGGACCCAGGCGCCAGTTGCGGTTCATTCGCTGAAAAGTCCAAAGCGAATCGACCTTTCACCCGGTTGGTTTTCCTTGTGGTTGGTCCATGTGTGGTCAAGGTCCCAACAAGTGAACCTTCTCTAGGTCCTTTTTCTGCTCGGCTTTGTTGGATTGAATGGCGACATGAAAGGAGCTTCGAAGAAATCTCGGAAGCCCTCTTGTGCGTTGGTGTTCAAGAGGGGGTTACAGGTACTTAATCCTGTACGAATTGGCTTCTTGGGGGTTGGAAACAAGTAGGTTAGCAAATGGACCCCCCATGGGCCCATGGGATGATACGATTTCACCACCAGACCCCTGGACCATCTGCTTTGGTCGAGTCGAGTTTTTTGGTGACAATTTCTAGTGGTTTGCGCCATCAGGCCTCGGAATTGGGGAAGTGGATTTCCACCTCTGGAGATCTCCATGGCCGGGACTAATGAACTAGCATTGGCTCCTCGAATTCGGGGCCCTCCCCCAACCTTGGGAGTTTGTGCCCAGGAAGATGTCCGATCCGACTTCTGCAAAGCGCGGCACGAGACCTACCCCTGCACCTTGCCGCGGGCTACTTGGTCAGCTCTGGGCTAGGGCCTTAAGCCCCTGTCGTTTGTTGTGGGTGTGTGGGTCTTTTGTGGAACATACCCTGAACTGTTGTGCACCTTCGGCTGAAAGTTGTAGTTATTGTGGATTGACCTTTGTTCTTGTTCCGCAAAAGAAAAGAGAGCACAAAGCTGGAGCAGCACAAATCTTGGCTGCCTTGTCATTTGCGAACAACAAACCGACTTGCCTAAAACCAAGGGAACACTAACAAATGTGTGAGTTGCCTTTTCGCTCTTGAAATCAAACGCACACCCTCAGGTCTGCTGTTTATCCCGAGGAATCGCGAGGCCTACGCTGGCTCACACTTAGCTGAGGCTAGCATCATCATGGTTTTTCACAACGAGCACATGCCTACATTGTCCCCGCCTTGGGCGACAGCGAGAGACATAGCTTGGATTCTAGGCTTCCTTTGACGCCACTTACTTTCCATAGACTTCACAGAACGCCACAAGAAGATGGAAGTTTGTCCAGACTCTTTGTGGACCACACTCAGTTTAGCGTCGAGTGTTGGTTTTGTGACACGCTTATGTTTGTGCGACGCACACTCTCTGCAATATATGTCATTTTTTTTAATTTGTGCTTTCCCGCATGGCTTCTCCGGCATGACACCTTGGACGACGCACTCGTTCCAGGTTTCTTGTGCTTGCGGTCGAATACTTGCTTGCATCCTTCAACCCCTCGCACCTGCGTCAAGGATGTCCTCGCATGTCCTTGTCAGCTGTGATTTCGGAGAGTGTGTTTTCAGCTTTGATTTCGGTGTCAAGGTGGGCAATTCGAATTTGGCTTTTGCGCCCCTGCCCTGGAGAAGAAGAACTTGGGGCTAGGCCAAGCAGTCTGCCGATGATCTAAAGAGGGGTTTGAACACTTGCCCGGACAAGGCGAACTCAGATGCCATGCATCAGTTCCCAGCTGCTCACCGTGTTTCTGCCACTAGTGGCAACTTTTGGGACAGGCCATAATGACAGACTTGACATGCCCCCTCTCATGCCCGTTTCAATCATTTCATACATTTCTTGGTCGTGCAGTTGCTCAATCTCAGCTCCAGTTGTGAACAACATGGCGTCTCATGCGATGACCAATTTGTCTTGCTAGTTCAACATTGAACTTCTCAGGTTTCCTAAGAAGCTTTCTATGAAGGATCCGCCAGGATGCTTCAAGCACAAATGTCGTAGTTTGGTTCTACACTTTTGGGTCTTTTAGCTCATCTCTGGGTTGAACTCACTTGGGAAACGTTCCGAAGAGCCCCCTCTTCGTAGCTTTCCCCACCCCATCAGGTGCTCTTCGAGGTTGGCTAGGTGCTTCTCGGAAAACGGGCGCAGGCTTCGGTCTGTGCACTCGGTGCTGAACCTCTCGCCTGCGGCGCTGCTGGAAGAGGTGCCGCGGAAATTGTGGATTTGGGAAGGGTTTTTGAGGTTTGTCTTGGTTTCTTTTGGGGGGGGTTGTTTGGGGGGGGGGGGTGCTGGTTTGAGGGGTTTGGGGGGTTTTGGGGATCTGGGCAGTTTGGGGATTGGGGGTTGGGCTCGAAAAACATGACGTGCGAAGGAGTTGCTAGTAGTATCCGTCAAGCATACACCCCAGAAAAAAACAAAAAAAAACAACACGGTCTATTTGTTTGGCCTCTATGTGAAAAGGGTTTCACCTAGCGGTTTCGCCAAGAGTATAGACGTAGCCCCTGGGTTCAAGTCCACGAAGGCATCGGTTTTGAGTGGGCCCTTGGATTCATGAACTTTGGCTTCGGGTGGTATTCAAGGAGAGGGGCAAGCAATGGGTTGAATCGTTCTGGGCAGTCATCTTAACAAGTCGGTCAGGCAAAGCTCTTATACCTTGAAGCCAAATGATGAAGATACAGCGGATTGAAAGGAAGAGTTTTCGTGTTTTCCCGAATTTGATCCTCAACGCGGGAAACTCAAGCCCTGCCAATTGCCTACCAGGGCCGCCACTTGTTCCACCCTCATTTCTCGCCGGCCGTGCAGCCGTGCGGCTCAATTCGTCTCATATCTTCGCCGGGAGCGGGCCGACCCCTCGCCCGCACGGGCCGTTCCTCACCTCGCGGCCGGAGCTGGCGAGTCGATGCTGCACAGATGTGCCGCCACCAACCACTGCTGCCCCAAGCTGAGCGAGGAGGACTGAAGAAGACGAAAATCGACCTTTAGACGACCCCCCTCTGTTGGGTCAGATGGCACCTCTCAAAGATAGGGTCAGCGCCTACAACTGGGTTGGCATTGATGATGTGAACCCTTGTGTCCGGCGAAGATGCCGAAATTCCGGATCCGTTTGGCAATCGTCACGGCAGTACCATCCTTTGACTGGGTGTCCGGAAAGGGTTTGTTTGAATTGATCCCAAGATCGGGAAGTAGATTTCCGGGAAGTTGCACACACGGCGCTAAATCGCGATGGATGTGCTGCGTTTTTGCAGGCCTCAGGGTTGCTCCCCCACAACTTGAAAGGCTACACAATGCGGAGTTTTGGGCACTTCTCCGCAACTTTGGCCTTCAGTGCATTCGTTGGGACGGGGAATACACCGAGCTCCAGCTTGCACAAAGCGTAGCATTTGAAGGAGCCCATTTCTTCGAACCCAACATGAGCCAAGAAACTTGCGCAGGACTTTAATGGCCTGAGCGCCTTCGGCAATGCGCAAATGTACGTGAACCCCTTCATGTACGATCCCAACGCGGCCTTTGCCGGGGAGGAGCTCAGCCGAACGGATTTCAGTCCATGTGGAATGTTCAGACTGGGCGAGCCAAACACATTTGAGTCACTTTATGTTGTTCTTCTGAAAGAAGACTTGAACCTAGGTAAAAGGGCTGCTCCCTGCTTGCCGCCGGAGCGCAAGCAGGTTTACTGTGGATTGAATTTGGGCGGCGGCGCTCCTTACATTGGTTCCATCAGAGGGGCGGCCCATCACCATAGCCCATATGGAGCGCTGAAGGTTGGTTGTCTTGGGAATCACCATGAGGGTTATCATGTCGTGTTTGTTAGGTTTCGCATTCTTACGGTTGTGTTTAGTCGCGTTTCCTTCAGACATGGCGTTCTTTGAAGAATGTCTTCCATTTGGTTAAGAATATGTTACTTTATTGTTCCCTGTTGGTTTTAAAGGGAATCTATCACTACTGGACATATTTCCCCATTTTTTCCAGGGGACTTAAGCCAATGGAGGATGTGGGTTGCGAGGACCGATCCCATTGCTTGAGCCATGCTTCCGGACCAAGATCCACGGTCAGTGTGAGGTGTTAGAGGCACCGGCCTCCATGGACCGAGAAACAAACAGTGCTGATGAAATGTTTGTTTTGAGTGATCATGAAGTGGTCGTTCGTATTGGTTAGTAACTGGTTTAGTATTGCTTTGTGCTGCCTGAGTACCGGCTTAGTATTGGTTTGTATCAGTTTAGTATTGCTTGGTGCTGCCTCGGTACCGGCCTAGTATTGGTTTAGTATTGCTTGGCCTGTTTTGGCAGGTCCAGGCAAGGCTGCACAATCGGCCCCGTTACATTTCTATTATTGAGTGTTTGGGGTAGTCACGTGCTCCTTGGACATTTATTTCTTGCCCAAGCACTAATATAAAGGAGATAGAAGGAAATCGGTGGTTTCGGGGATGGGCTCGTTTTGCAGAGATCCTTTGGCTTTCATATAGCTCAGAAGCAAGGCTGACTGGACAAGAAGAGGGAGAGAGAGAGAGAGAGAAAGAAAGGAAGGAAGGGAGGAAGAAAGACAGAAAGAACCGAAGAAACAACAACAAAAAAAGAAAGGAAGAGAGAGAGGGAGAGAAAGAGAGAGAGAGAGAGAGGGGTGTTGTTGGGGCGAAGACCATGGCAGTCGAAGGGATGGAACGTAGCCGGATCTGTTTTTTTTGGAGAAATAGTAAGTATACTAGGTGCCCCGGCCCCGTTTCCTTTGGAGATATTAATTTGGGGCATGATCGTGAAGACATGGTTGTTCAGTGATGATGAATGTCATATCCCCCAAGAAACCCCCAGCCCAACCGCCCAAACCCCCCACCTCAGCAAAAACACCCACATCCGCCGATTTTGGTCCCAACACATACCCTGTTTGACATGATTTGTCATGTTCCGCTGGGCTTGCGCCTGGGCGAGTGTGTGATTGAGTTGTTTTTTTGGTGTTGTTGATGTTTGTTTGTACGTATATTGTTCCTCTGCGTGTTGTGCGCGGGAGTTGTTGTTTGTGTGCTTGTTTGTTTTTTGTGGCTTGATTGATATTGTTTGTGATCTTGCTTGTTTCGTTGTTTTGTTGTTTCTTTGTCTGTCTGTATGTCCGTCGATCCGTATATCTGTCTGCCTGCCTCTCTGTTTGTTTGTCTCTCGATCTGTCTCTCTCTCTCTCTCTCTCTCTCTCTTTCTCTGTTGGTCTGTCGGACTGTCGCTCAGCCTGTCTGTATGTCTATCTGTGTCTTTGCTTGTTTGCGTGTTTGTTTGTTCAGTTGTGTTTTGTTTGACAGTTTGCTTATTTGCTTGTTTGCTTGTTTGGTTGGTTGCTTGTTTGCTTGCTTGTTTGTTTGTTGTGCGTGTGTGTGTTGGCATGTTTGCTTTGTTGTGTGTGTGTGTGCTTGTTTGTGAGTTTGTGTTTGCGTGTGTGTTTGTATTTTTTGGGGCAGTCTATATATATATATACACGTGTGCGGGGGTTTGTGCTTTGGTTTGTATTGGCAGGCTATGTCAAAATGTCGGAAGGAGGACCCGGGTGTTACCCGATGTAGCCGGTGAGGGCAAAGCTGTCAGACATGAACATTTGGAGTCAACACTTTGGGGGCATCCCCTTTTTCGTCGGATTCCTTAGCCGCCGGCGGTGTCGTGACTTAGGAGACCGGGGATTTTCCGCCGGGGGCGTTGGCTCTAATGCAACTTGGCCTGGTTGGCCTTGGGCTCCAACGTTGCCGGACACCAAACGTACTGCGAGTGAACCAGCCTCACGCCCTGGGACATGGCAGGTTTGTCCTTGTTGTTCTCTTGTGGAGATCAAGCCCGGGCTGGTGAATTTTGAACCTTGGGCACAGCTTGCGCGGCATGCGAGTGGAAGGCCAAGCAAGTTGTGCTTTCCCACCAGATTGTCTCAACACGAACAGGGGTTGCCTTGTGTTGTGTTGGGGAAGGGCAGGTTCATGAAGGCTGAGGGCCGCGGGCAAAAGCTGAAGCCAAATGCGAGGTACGACCCACCGATTGACGATGATTTGGATAGCCCAGACTGGGCGGGGGATGCCTGGCTGCATAAAACAATCTGGCAGAACGGAAGCGGAGCTCGGTGGCACGGTGGAAGCAGGATTTGCTTTGCAACCTTGCAGGGGGGGGGAGAACTCAAAAGAGTGTATTTGAGATTGACATCCGGTACCCCATCCAGGGGTTTGTCCTTGTAGGCCAGGTGGGCAGTTTAAAGATTGTTTTGCACATCGGGCACCCCGTCCCGGCAGTTTACCCACTTCCCAGAACGGGGTCGCCAGTACTCCTCATTTAAGCAGAAAAAATACATTGGTGATTGATCAGGTGCAACATCAAGAACTCATTACCCCCAGAGACCCCAACATATGGACAACATTGGTACCTAATCAGACAAAACATCAAGAACTGAGTACCCCGAATAATTTCGGACAGGATGCAGTTCCATGTCTGGGGTTGGGCGGGCTTCTGCCTAAGGACACCGCCTTTGGAGACTCAGGCAGGGGTGTCACTCTGCGGGATTGCCCATCAAAGCCCTCGCTGTAGACACCCTTAAACTCTAAACGGGGATTGCGTCAAGCAATCCCCGATTGGCCTGTTGGGAAACTGCAGAGAGAATCCGCAGACACTATTTGGCAGTTGGCAGCCCTGTGAATGGCATGATTCGGGGTTCGTGTTGATAGGACTGGCCTTGAAAGGTGCGTTGATGAGATTGTCGAAGCCTTATAGTGTGACTTATTGGCATATTGCTGTTTCTGGCTAACGTTCGAGATTTGGAATGGATCCTTGTGACTATGAACAAAGTAAGTTTTGGCAATAGGTTCTGAACATGGAGGAGTATTTGTTTCATTTGTCAAACACAAAGGAGGGCAGACACCGGAACTTGCAATCAGGGGTTTTGGTGGGTTCTGAAGACAGATGGGTCGGAAAGTTCTTGGGATGTTCACAGATCCGTTGGTCTATGGCAGGGCTTATACCAGCATCAGAATGCCTATTGATGGAGCCGACTACGGCCCGCACTTTCGGTGCCGGGCCTGGGCATCCTTACTTGCAGTGTTGGATTTCTGGCATGACTGCGGCCTGGAAAGCAGCACAGCTTCCTGGCTTACCCCGGCTGGTAGCAAGGTTTTCTCGCGAGTCTTAGCGGCGCGGAAGCAGAACAGACGGCTTGATGGGTCAGGACCCTACCCCACGCCCCAACGGGTCTCCA